CGCGCGCTATTAATACAATTTACGACGCTGGTTCCATTGAAGGCGCGCGCAGCTGCATGTGCAACCGCGCGGCTTGAATGCGACGGCGACAGCCGCGAGAGAATCTGCGAGAGTGGTCCTGAAACCGGGGGTTCCCGGTTCGCGTTTGTGTTGCAGGAGGCGGAAGTTCCGTGTCGGGCAGCCCGACGACGGGTTACTTGGGCGGCATGGGCGGCGGGGGTGGCGGTCACACCCCCGGGAGCTCGAGCCCCGGAAGCGAGATGTCGCCTCAGCACAACGAGAGCCCGCCGGCACCCTCCTGGCCGGGCGAGATGAAGCACCATCCGCATCCGCACGCGCCCCCTCACACCCATCATCACCCGCACACGCCCGGGCATCATCCACCGCCACCGCCACCCCCGCCGCATCACGCAGGCTACATGCCGCAGTACTCCTGGTACCAGGCGGACCCTAATCCCGGACTACTCACGTAAGTTGCTTTTTCAAATCATGAACAGATCGACATTGATGGAGGTTTGATGCATTGCCTTTGGAAGCTGACGAGACAAATTATTACATCTGTAAAACAGTAATTTCCTCTTAGAGTACCCTTGAAAGTATAAAGGTTAATGGGATTTAAGAAATTTAAAAAATATATTGAAGTTAAATAATTAAATTGAAGTTAAATAATTAATTATAAAGAAATATTGTGATATTGGATATTTTTAAATATTCGAAATGTGTACATGAAAATATTGTATGAATTATATAAGACATTTATAGAAAATAAAGATAGAGTTACCATGAGATAAATGAATATTGTACTCTGCAGGATGCACACACACACACATTTAGCAAAATATTAATAATAATAATATTAATGAGATGAATAATGTGCAACCACAAACGCCGATTTTAGATCGGCAATGACGCGCTGTCAAAAAAAATGTTTCTCAAAGCTAACGAAGAGGATCGAATTTCGAGTCAACGTGGACTAGAGCGACGTCGATAGCAAGTCATAAACGGTATGCATCGAGTGACTTTTGACTGATAAGTGACATTGTTTCGGTGCGCGCTGTTTTGTTGCGAAGAAAACGAGACTTTTTCTTTGGGTATGGAAACGACATTGGTTGGAAGAAGAAAGGAGCGACTTCGTCATATGGTGAAGTAAATATTATATAAAATGAGTGATAATATAATGTCGATAACAGTAGTTTATGACATAAAATTGCCGATAATTGATCGTTCGTGATGCGAATTCTCCGAGGAACGACGTCGTTTTCGTTGGTGGTCTTGATGTTCGATTTACGAGTTGGAGGGTACTTGTAACGCTTCGCGTATGATTGAATGATCATCACGACTGTAACGCTTTTCGTGTTTGACAAGTAATCGTTGTCGCAAAAAATATAAAAATCGCGAGGAATTTTTTTCCTGGGAAATAAAATGGCTTCTCTATATGTCTGTTCGTGTCAACCATCGCAATTGCGTGCATCGGATCTAATTTGATTACTACGGTTAATTATAAGCAAAGATTGCCTCCAAATAATTGTTTTCATTGTGAAAATGTTGTCCATAATGTTTGTCAATTGCGTGAAATTGCGTACCGATTTTAATCGCTATAATTAATTATTAATTAAACAACAAGAGTTACGCGATACAATTATTTTCTATGAAAAAATATTGAATCGACGTTACCGCTACAATTACCAAAACTAATCGAATCACGTGGGATCGGAACACAGTTAAGTGTTAATTGATTGTATTTGTATCTATATCAGAAGCTTCAAATCTATAATTTGTAGAAAGACACCTTTACGTTTAATTGTCAAACTTAAATATTTTCTTATTTATTTAATGCTATTTTGCAATCTAAAGTTTTAAATATTGAGTTTAATGTTTTTGATTTACATTGATTTACTTCCAGATAATTATTCATAGAACAAATGCATAAAATTTGATAATCAAGAATTTTAATCTAATTTTGAATTAGATTCCTCTGAGATGGGAGAAAGGGAGAAGGTCACACCGGTGTTGGCAGATCAATGATTTATTAGTATTATTAAAAATTGCTTTCTTAAACTTAGTCGGATATGATAAAATATTTAAACTCGTTCAACTTCTTACTACTCTCAAACTTAACGAATCCCCATGGTCATCGAAATGCGATAGTATTAAAGTGGCAATAATATGACATCCACGATGAAAATATTGGACGCGAATCAAGTTTGAGATCCATGGCCTACATCCGGTACTTGCCTCTGGTAATTACGTTTATTTCCAGAACAAATCCTGGCAAATAACAGGATCAGATTGAATGACCTTTTTTATACGGCTCGATCAACACGAGATTTTCGTCACTTTTCTGAATCAAGCACGATCGTGCATCTCTAAAGACCAATTTCTATCTCATCGTAAATGTCAATTGCCGATGACGTTAGGCGGATCGATCCTTTGTGACAGTTGCCCAACAGCTGAGAGCGCAACCGACCTACTTCGTGCCGTATTTCGCGCGATAGAGATAGAGAGGAACGGCAAGATTGGCGGATTCTCTTCGAGAAGATAAACGTGGAATGGGGTAGGGGGAAGGGGAGAAGCGGAGGAAAAAGAGAGACAACGTTGCATAAACTCGTTGAGCAGTCGTTCCTCAAGGCAGTTGGAAGTAAATGAAATCCTAATGACATTTTCGTGAGTCAAACGATCTCGGCAATCACGGTGGCTCGCTATAATCACCGGTCCCTTCTTCCCGGATGAAGCAATCGGCCGCGGCCTCCTCCGAAGAGGAAAGAAGCGCGCGAGAGATGAACGGAGGAACGATAGTTCAGGTGGAAAAAAAATCGTTATCTCATGTAAAGAGTCGCGTAGGATACTCTGCCGATATTCGAGTTCATTAAGAATTTTGGAAAATATAAAGAAGATATTGTTTGAATTTTCAATTAGTTGCCTAGATTGTGATCTTTTCTGTAATTCTACAATTTAATGCACAAGTTGTTTGATTTTTTCAGTTGCAATATTTTATATAATGAATCAATGATTGAGAATTTTTATTTTAAAAATAGCTAATTTTGAAAATATTTATTTATTTATAATCTTTTACGCAAGGGAATATAATTTTATTTAATGTAAATTTTATGAACTATTTTACAAATTAAGATACTTCAAGAAAATCTCACACTAAATTAAAAAGAACGGTTTACTGCCTCTCTTTTTTCTTCCATTGCCGCGGTGATTAAATGATCTATGTTCGAATTATAGAAACTAGGCATCCGAATACGCGACCTGTAAGCCGGTCAAGCTGCAGGTGAACAATGCGGCGGTTTGTTTTGCGCTGTTTCTTCTTCGCTGTCCCCCGTCAGCCATATTGGGTCACCCTTGCCATCTTGCGTCGTGCAATATCTAGCTTTCCAAGAGGCGACGCCAAACCGCAAAAACGACGGCTGTGGCTTGCAACCGCGGGAAACTGGGAGGGTCGGTGGGCCCCACCGCTGACCTAGATCCACTGTCTCGTCGATGCAACAATGGTCGTCTCATGAGAACGCATGGTCCCACACGGTCCCTTTCCTTCCTGATTCTGCCTTTTCCTTCGCTCTGATTGACGGTACCGTTTGGCATATGTCGCGATGCGCGCTGAAACGCGCCAAGTCTCGGTTTCGCTCAGCTCGACTCTCAGATTCTTACAAAAAAAAAAAAAAAAAAAACCCCACAAGGATGCCCACACAAGGCTTTTAAAACTTATATTTTCTAATGGGCTAATAAAAATTTAAACTTTTAATTTTTAATTTCTATATCGCTTTATTACAACATAAAATCTTTCATGCGTTAACCCGTAATTAATAGTGCATTTACATGATCCAAAGTTGCATCGATTTCTCGAGACTGGACAATAAATCCAGATATGAGACAGTATACAAATTCGTGTTACAGATTCATATAGAAGTATAATAACGTGTCTACGGTTTGTGAATTAAATCTCAAATAATTGTATTGAGTGTATTTTTTCGTGACACCAAAACCGTACGTTTCCGACGCCGTGTGTCAATAGAATCGAGAGTATATATACGCGATATCTCACGTATATATGTATATAACGCACCCGTATAAATTTCCCTGAGAATCGACGAAGAAAAAGCGTCGACGCCGCGCGAGTCGATGCGGCGCGGAAACTCGAGGCGGATTAGGCTGCCCCAGGTTTACCCCACGGTGCACAAAGAGAACAGTACAAAACTAGTTTTATGCCCTTCCGCTCGTGTCGACCGCGCTTGCTGTTGAATGCTACGCGATTACGTTAGCCCGCGTAAAGGTTCCGCGGGCCGAAAAAGAGGAAGGCGGGCTGGAAGGTAGGCTACGTTCCGGGGATCGATGTCGCTGCGCCGGGGCGACGTTAAATTCCTACATCGTGACGTACACCGCGTTATCGTCGTCGTCGTCGTCTTCGTCGGGATGTGATGTCGGTACGGGCAAAGGACGCGCACCGGCAACGACGATGACGTTGACGATGACAACGAGAGACGCGGCGATTCTCTCCCGTATATAATAATAAGTGCCGTTAGATTTAACCGCAAGCCTGCGCTGCGGAGAACTAGGAGGCACGAGATGGCCTCCTCGGATGGGTTCTTGCGTTTTGATTCGGTGCAATAAGAAGGTGTATGCGTGTATAATTTAAGACGAAGCTCCCCTCAGTTCCTAAATTACGTGTAAAGCCGGAAATGCGGAAAACAGCGTAAAACAATTGTTAGCGTGGTCGAAGTGACGAGGCATACGTTTTCATCGTTGTTGTCGAGATTGGCATTGAATTTTCTGGAAAGCTGCGTTTATTAGAAAAATATCTTTATTTGCATAAGAAATCGAATTTTCTATATAAATTTAAACTCGAGAAATTTTTCAAAATTTTAAGAAAGAAAATGACATACAAAGATAACTTATATCTCTTCATGAATATAAAAAAAAAAACCGTACGACTTCCAGGAAATACTAAAATTGATTTCTGCGATGCAGAAAGATGTTTATCGAACAGCTTCGATGAGCGAATCAAATCGCGTAACGTAGTGACAGTTCACTTTTTCCACGCTTTTATCAAATATGCGGATTATGATCAGTGCCGCGCGCGAGAATGAAACGCGAACTTAACACGATTCTCTTTTTAGAAAGAGAGAGAGAAAGAGAGCGAGAGAGAGAGAGAGAAAGAGAGAATGGTAAACAGTATAAAAAGAGTCCATAGAATTTACTAGCGTTACTAGTCTCGGTGCAAACCATCGGAGATCGATCAGACTCGGCGAGGCCGACAGATCGAACGCCGAACATCTGTAAATATTGCACCGAGGCCCTCTAGCATGTAAGCCGTAAGTGAATCTGTGTAAAATACGATATTGTGATAAGAATGTAAAGAGAAATGAGACGAGAACGAGAGAAACAGAAGAAACAAGAGAGGCCTAGAAAATCGTCTATATACATATAGGATATAACACGGCAGACCCCAATTTATCGATTTTACCGAGTA